ATTATATGTGTATAAATTTATTCAAACCTTCGGCAAGATATTAATTCTTGAAGTAGATACCTAAACTCGCAAATTTCATCCGACTCGTCGATTTGACACGGTGGCAGAAAATTTTTTCGCGATTTTTATATATCTATTTCAGTCGATAATCCATCTGACATGCATTCGACTAAAAATTTCTATTTGAGTTCCAGGGAGGATAAAACAGAGCCGTATGCTTCACTTGTATTTTAAGGCATTGAGAATTTTTTTACCCTAGATTTACAAATACATCCTTTGCGATTAAATATATTATGACTATTATATCATTATTTTTTATAATGGTTATTATTATTATTATATTTGCATCTGAATTTTGAAAACCACACTTTTCTGAGGCAGGAAGGTTTCTGGCCCACAATCCTGACAGTACAATGGTGACGTAAAGCTAACTCACATGTGCTTGACTTACTAAGTTAATTTTGTTTCAATGTTATGATTAATTAAAACCTTGAATTACTGCTTTTCCATAATGAAGATAAAACCTAGATGCTTCATGGATGCACCTATTTGTCATGAATAATTTGAATGAATTTATTCCTTTTTGTAGACTTCCATTGACCATAGAACAGCATTATCATCTCAATATTATTTCCAACACAAAATGTCAATCATTTGTTTGTTTTTTACGAGAAGACCACAATGTCCCAAAACTACTTTAAAATGTTTTAGGATTCATTAATTTTTTCGCGAACGAATGAGTTGTTAAATTATTTAGGAACAATGATGCTGATTGTGAAAGATCATGAAAAATCACGGAAATTTTGAAATCACATTCTTGCCAGATGTTCTTCTCTATGAATGCCCTAGGCTGTTTAATGAATATTGGATGGAAATTATCTATAAGATTTAACTACCAATAAATTATTATGAAATGAATACTATAATATTATCATCAATATGAAGTTATTACCAGACGCTTCGTGAGAATGTTAACAATAATATAACAGTGACACTAAATTCTGTAAAAATAATAACCGTGAAATAATAAATCCTGTTTCGATTGTAAAATAATAAAAAAATTATTAACAGATGATCATTAATGAAGCTGTTGGAACTTGTAATAGCATTTATGCAAACAAAATTTTGAGTTTATTGCCGATATCATGGCTTCCCATATTGGCTATTCAATGGCCTATATATACGATGTACATGTTTGAATTCAAACAAAGTGTGTTCACCACACGAGATTGTTTTCATATTGGGTTGCTTCCCAGCCCGATGCACTCTATGATTAAATGTATTCATAAATCATATATATAGCTTCAACACATGCCTGATCGTTTATAATCATAAATGTAACTCCAGCATACGGATGTCTGATTCGTTAGCCGCACAGATGTTTGCAATTGAAATCACTCCTGCACAATATATGTACCTCGTGCCACAATGAAAACCCTCATCAATCACACATGTTTCCTGTATAATTCCTAGTTTCTCAAGTCATTAAAATATCACTTCAAGTTTCAACTTCAAATGCAGCTCTAGAAAATTAATTGCAATAAAAATCATTGAAAATTTTTCGTTTTGAGATATCCAAAATCGTATATTGTCACCGGCCTCTCTATTATTTGATATCAACAGTTAGGAAGTGTTGGAAAGCACACATATTGTGCATTGCACCAATACTTAATTCGTTCTATTATTATTTCAGTTTTGAAGATAGAGAAATATTAATGAATTAGGCCGCAATAATAAAGATAGTTTCAGACACTTCTGGAGTTGCTGCGATTCTGGACAAAGTTAGTAGAATTATTCTATAATGATATCATTTATTCCTGACCTAAAGTTATTAGAATTACTCTATAAGAATATTATTTATTCTTGACCGAAAGTTATTAGAATGATTCAATAATAATATTATTTATTCTTGACTTGAAGTTATTAGAATATTCTTTTAGTTTGTATTTCAGTAATATCAAAGTTATTTATCAATGGTCTCAATGCGCGCAACGTCGACCACAGCACCTAACAACGCACACGTCGCTATATGTGGTATTATTTTCATATAATCAATATTGTACACCATTTAGGAAGGGCAATCTAAAAAAGTAATTCCTAAGCTCTCATTTCATTATAAAGTAAAATAATAAGGAAAAGAGTACCCAATGCAATTTCGGCGACATGAAAGTTTTTTAGTGACATGAATTAAGCGATTTATAAAATAATGAAATGAATATTTTTAAATACAGGAAAAGTAGATCATCCGCGATATTTGATCCATGAATTAGTAAATGAGAAATGTATTGCGATTCCAAAGAAAAATGCAACATTAAAGACATCACCAAACATAACTAATATGAAAAAAATTAGATGCAATTCAAGTTTCATCAATGCGGCCATTTACGCGGAAGATAGACTACGCAATCAAACGTATAATATTATCAAAAAGCTTTTATTGGGCACTGAGTGTGGACATATTTGTAAAACACACAAATTAGGATGCAATGTATATAAACTGCATTTGTTTTATATTATTCTAATAGTAAAAATTGCAGGATTTCTTCAGATTTCTCTACTATCGTAAATTTCGATTGTTTCATCAAATGAAATTCGCAGGTTAGAATGCAATGAATTTGATCAACGTATGAGACTTGTCTTGATCAGTCTTGTTTCATGTTGAATTAAAATACTGGTATGTAATCATAATTGTTTTCTATTTTATGATAACGTTTTCTTCAAATAGCTTCGTGAATTTTCTGTGAGGAAGATGTCATAGAAAACGGAATAAAAGCCTACCCGACTCTGTTGCTCGTGTCTGAAGTTGATTAACAGACATGTTCACATATGGCGTACTTCGATATCTTGAGGTACAGCCAAATTCTTTAACTCATGGACCTTTACTTTAGTACTAGTACTACCTCCAAAAAGGTACTTCTAGCACTGCACAACTATAATTAATGAAAAAATACTTCTAAAATACGCACATCCATCGTATCCATAAGTATAACTGGAAAGAATTTTTTTTAACCATCGAACAAATGTTCAATACTTGGAAGGGTACACGTGACCTAGAGAACGAAGTTAATAAATGCATTTTAAAAGACCGCAAATGTGTTACACTTTCTCAGATTTTGCGTCAAAGGGACTCCGATTACCAAGCGTTTTATAAATTCAGTATTTTTTATAGATTCATCTACATTCTACAGGCTCAAAACAATAGCTTTAATAACATATTTATTAATTAAAGGAACATTTTCAAAGCTCACGAGGATGCTTGCCTTCTTTTCCTTTTAGCCTTGCCAAACTAAGTCAGGATGACTCACACAAGAACGAAAAGTGCATCACTATTTGGGCCGGCCCACTCATTTCTTTAGGTGTGTAATAAGTTCATTCTTGATAAATAAATACAAGGATTTTGTTAACTAATTTGACGATAAATGTAACATTTCAGAGGTCGCGTAGGTGCTTGCCTTCTTCTCCGTACTTGGCGCAGGTGAACTCAGCCAGCACCAGCGCCGTCTTGTTGCGTATCATGTCTACCAGCGGTCCCTGACATGGCTCCGAAGTCTTGAAGAACTCGAGCACGCACTTCTGGGTACCGACCAGCTGTCTGTGCAGCAGTGAGAGACGAATGTGATGATGTTAATGTGATGATGAATGATTATGATGATAGTGAATATTCAAAATGGCATTGCATAGCAAGAATAGTTCCAGGCTCCTAGGTGAACACCAGCTGCCTGCGCAACAGTGAGAGACGAATGTGATGATCAATGATTATAGTGATGGTGAATATTCAAAATGACATTGCATGGCAAGAATACTTCCAGGGTCCTAGGTGAACACCAGCTGTCTGCGTGCGAGTGGGAGGTGAGGGTGATGTTGATGCTAAGGTGAACATTCAAAATATCATTGCAGGTTATAAATACTTGCACGTTTCAAGGTGACAATCAGCAGCCTGCTATCGAGTGAGAGGTAATGATTATGATGATGAACAATGATGGTGAAGTTCAAAATATCATTGCAGGACAAAAATACTTCCACGTTCCGAGGTGACCACCATCTACCTGCTTGTGAGTTAGAGTTGGGTGTAATAATGATAACCATTCTTATTGGTCTTGTGAGTCACAAAAAAAAAAAAAAGAAACCATTTCACCCCCAGAGCTTTCGCATTTCCACATTGCGATTTTATTAAAAATTACTCGACGCCCAGCTGGTACTGGAAAAACTCGGTAACTATGCATACTATATCTTATAATAACAGTAATTATTTCACACCAGAAAGTAATTGTACCGAGTTAGCAAGTGAATTAAATTGACAGAGCGACACAGTTAATGTGGCTTACTCCTCTTGACACCACCATGCTGGAACAACGTCAAATTAGACAGACCAAATACTAAAATTTAAGGGTCCGAAATAATCCTTTTAATGTTACAGTCTCCCAATTACCCAGCTACTATTTAAATAATACACTGGCAAGACCATAAAGATGCAAACACCTAATTAAACTATAATGTCAAAGCACCTTATTTGAGCCGGTAGAAACATCTCATTAACTCGACATTACATCTTAATTATATTTTTTTCAATATCCCACTCACCATAACAACGTCTTTCTTATCATTGATACATCCAAATGATTAGTACAACATAGTACTCACTAGTATATAGTAATATCCGCCATTTTAATATCCTATTCATCACTACATTTTTCTAACTTATAAAACATCCTATTCACTAGCATACATCTCTTCATATTCCTAATTACATCATCATATTCCTCATTACAACATCCCTTTCATTACTGTAACCTCTTACTCACTATTACAACATACTATTCACTAGTACAACTTACTATTCACCAGTACAACATATTACTCACTCGTGCAATATTACACTCACTGGCACAGTTTCTCCCTCCTGGACAGCCTCCTCAGGACGCTGGTGATGTCGTTGTAGTCCAGACCCGCCTTGCCCCAGCACTCGGTGATCATGCGCAGGATCTGGCGCGCGCAGGTGACAGACGTGGTCCTCAGCACCTCTGTGGTTGACATCACGTTATGGTTAGGTTTGTGTTTGGTTAGGACAGACGTGGTCCTCAGCACCTCTGTGGTTGACATCACGTTATGGTTAGGTTTGGTTAGGACAGACGTGGTCCTCAGCACCTCTATGGTTGACATTACGTTATGGTTAGGTATACCTAGGTTAGAACAGACGTGGCTCTTAGCACCTCTGTTCACATTACATAATATTTAGGTTAGGATATAAGTGGTGCTCAGCCGCTCATGGGTAAAATCAATATGTTCTCATAAAGAAATTGAGGTAAGACGTAGAAGGGCTTTGATGGAAGCTTTGAACACCAAATGAAATTGAAATACTAATTACATGTAGAAATGGTGTCAATAAGATGCATAACTACGCGAAACTACAAAAATGGATTTCAAAAATCAATCATTCGTCAACTTATCATGTGAATATATTTGAGCCTTATATATTAAATACACAGCCAAGAGAAATGTCATAAATTATAAGGCTTTAATTAAAAATTGAATGAAGGGTTGACGAAATCTTTGCAAAACAAATAATGAAAATTATACGGACATAGCCCGACCGTTGCTACTGCATGGAGGCATTCTTTAAACAAAAAAATGTCCCTGTATTAATTTGCCGACATGATCAGAGGTGTAAATTGACCTTGATTTATTACGATCATTTGAAAACTCTGCAATATTATTTACCTCGCAATATGTTGCACAGTTAGGAACTCAAACATTCTGCGAAAATCATAATACACTCTTTACAATCATTAAGTTCGCAGCACCCACATTGCAGTAACCGAAAATGCCAATATACAATAATGAACTAACCCATGAGTTCCGAGGCGTCGTTGGCGCAGTAGTGTTTGATGAGAAGGCTGTGCATGAGGTTCATGACCTCCAGGGTGCCGGGATGGTCGGGGCACTCCTGCAGACTCAGGCAAAGCTTCTCCTTGCACATCGTTGCGAGAGGTAGAACTCTGCAGGAGATAAAAGCGCTTACTGTACGATCTGAGGAAGAAATTTGGGTAGTTGAGCGTTTACTGTACCATCTGAGGGGGCCCTTTTGGGAGATGAAGAGCGTTTATTCTACCATCTGAGGGGGACCTCTTGAGGGATGATGAGGGTTTACTTTATCATCTGAGGGGGCCCTCTTGGGAGATGAAGAGAGTTTATTCTACCATCTGAGGGGGACCTCTTGGGGGATGATGAGCGTTTACTTTACCATCTGAGGGGGCCCTCTTATGAGATGAAGAGCGTTTTCTCTATCATCTGAGATAGAACCCATAGGGAATGGGTTGCGTTTACATCGCCATCTGGGTTGGAAGACCAAGGCGGGTGTACGAGCGTTTACTGTTTACCCTACTATTATTTATAGTTATTGTAATGGTGTCAGGGTAACGCTATCCTATTAAGCTACGTTACTACATTCAGAACGCATGAGACGTTTATTGAGGTCATGAGCATTATTTAATGATTCCATCTTGTCTTCATAAAAAACACAACTAGAACAGAAAAAACTACTTCGTCAAAGTTTGTTAAGATCACCCGCAGCACGTGGTGGTGATGATGAGGTTCCTGACGGTGATGTTGGGCTCGATGTCCACGAAGTGCTCCACGATGGCCGGCAGCTCGTCCTTGCTGTCCCGCAGGCACCGCGCCAGCTCCGAGAAATACGCCTGAAATGCACGTATGTTGTTCATCTCAGCTGTTGATACTAACATCAATTCTGACACTGGTGTTGACAGTGATATTAATGTTGATAGTGACAACATTCATTATAGCGACACTAGTGTTGACAGTGATACTGTTGTTGATAATGACTCCATTGTTGATAATGACATCATTGTGATAGTGACATCATTGTGATAATGACATCTTTGTTGAAAATGACATCATTGTGATAGTGACATAGTTGTGATAGTGACATCGTTGTTGGAAATGACACCATTGTTGATAATGACATCGTTGTTGAAAATGACATCATTATGATAGTGACATCATTGTGATAGTGACATCGTTGTGATTGTGACATCGTTGTGATAGTGACATCGTTGTTGGTAATGACACCATTGTTGATAATGACATCATAGCTGATGAAATCATTGTTCACACTAACACTATTGATTCTGAAACAAACGATTAGAGTGAAATGCAATTGAAAATGAACAGTAATTTTAAAATTAATAATGAATGGTTTAGCTATCGCTCTTCGAAATTGCTAGTGCACTGCAGTTAAAATTAGCGTTTCTGAATCTTTCAACGCTGGCATGAATTAGCTGTTCCCTCCCATATAAGTCAGGCTTTCTTTATATCTGTCTGCCTACATTTCAGTTTGTTTATGACTTCACAAAACCACTAGTGAAAAGAGTAAAATGCATAGATATTTCACAATATTTCATATATATCGTACCAAAAGGGTTTCTAATATTGAAATATTTTTCTAAACTAAAGGAATGAATACAATTACTGACGCTAAACTAAACTAACTAAACTTCCCAATTTTTCAAAATTCAAAGACGAACAAAGAGAAATAAACTTCGTCTTGGTGCACCGCTGGCTTAAGCTGCAGCCCACTAGACAAATGACGTTAAAACGGCGTTTGAATAAACGTTGATTCGACAAGACAACATTTGATTAAAAAATAACGTTTAATTCAACAGTGATTCAACGGAACAAGGTTTAATTCAACGTTAATTCAACAAAACAACGTTTAATTTTAAGTAGAATCAATATCAAATGTCTTGGGAACGAAATAACGTTTAATTCAACATTGATTCAACGCAACAAGTTTTAATTCAACATTGACTCAACAAAACAACGTTTAATTCAACGTAGAACCAATGTCAGATGTCTTGGGCTCATGGACTCACGATGCTCCCGCAAGACCGGACGATGGTCTTCTCGAAGCCGGAGAGCCCGCGGCGCCTGAGCATCGCGTCCACAAGCTCCGCGCTCACTTGCATCACGTACTCATGGTCGTCGTGGTCTGAGCACCGACGATTTGGTGTATCAATTAAGCAACGTTTAATTAACGTTTATTAAGCTAATTAACGTTTAATTAACGTTTATTCAGCTAAACAACGTTTTATTAATGTTGATTCAACATAAGATGTCTCAACCATGCCTCATATCAACCATACTTCCGCGCTCACTTCCATTACATACTCGTGGTCGTCGTGGTCTGGGCACGGACAATTTGGTGTAAACAACAGGGCACGTAAAACGGGAGTAGCAAAACCGTATTTTTTATTGTTTCATTGAAACAATGAAACCGCCCGACAGGGGGTTAGAGCGGGAGTTAACCGGGAGAGTTAACTGCCTGTTGTTGAAACCCGGTTTACTCTCCATACTTGGAGAGTTAACCGGGAGAGTTTAGAGCGGGAGAGCTAACCGCCTCTGTAATAAATTTCGGGAGGGCTGAATTTGGTGCAAACAACGGGGCACGAATGTTTCGTTAGAAGGTAATTTTTACGCTTTCTGTATGCTTCAGAGCATCGATTGTATCTATGACTCATTAGTCGGAAAAAGATTCAGCTTGATGAGAAAAATTGATATCAACAAGGTTTGGTCGTCGAGGTCTGTGCTCAGACGATTTGGTACAAGCAAGAACAGGAAGATTTTGTTAGTTAGGAATTTTTAATTTCTTGAATTCTTCGCAGCATCGATGGCATAGGCGGAAAATTATTGAAAAAAAAGACTTGGCTTGATGCCAAAACAATCTACTAAATACGAGAATTTGTTGTCTATGTCTAGGCAGATACAAAAGTAGTGCACGAAACGGGAATTAGATTTGTTTTGTCGCGAATAGAAATTATCGTGCATTAATTTTCCTGGGCGCGTCAGGGTATCAATGGCGTCCATGCTGTATCAATCGAAAAAGAAAGAGCTCAATTATGAAAAGAATCGAGTAAAAATCTGATCGTGTGCTATCTTGTGCAAATTTTGACAGACATTGAAAGGACTGCAAACCTGATGTTGAATACCTACAGTTCTGGATGTCTTTCTATGCAAAAATTTTATAACAAGAAATTCATTCCCTGGACATTTAAATGCCTACCAAAACAAAAAAAAATATGGCCAAGTCAAAATATCTCGAGTCATCGCTACATGAATGCAAACGTAAAAAATATATTCTAAAATATATGTGACGTAATGGTAGAGCTCAAGCCTGCGAGGCAATTGAGGAAGGCTCATTTGTCACCCTGGCGTAATCTTCTAATAACCTACCTCATAATTGAATTGAAAAATATTTTCCAACCAAATTCAACTAAATGTGCGTCCCTACTTATAGACTCGGTTTGAGAGCAATTGCTTTTACTGTCTGCTTTAAACAAATCTGGTCTGTAGTCAAGTTTACAGAACTTCATGAAACGAGTAGTGGTCATTAAAATAACCTCATAACAAATCTTCGATGCCGACACTACGATATAAGAAAACCAACTGTAATTATTGATAAATTATACCAAATAACTTACGTGAATGGTTCGCCGAATGTCTTGCAAGCCAATCTTCCGAATCTTCATGGCTAGTCACCATCGGCACACACAACACAAACAAAACGAAATACACTTCAAATAAAGCCATTATCCTCGGTGTTTCTATTCACCAATGAAAAATACAAATTACGACGCGACGCAATACGTAAAATCAACGGACATCTTTCAGCAGACGGATCTGAATAAATTATATCTGGATAAGGATCCAAGGATCCATTGAAGAGAAAAAATTACAAGCGTACCAGTGAATAAATTAACTTTCATCTCTAAATACGACAAAATATGAGCATACAGAGGAAAAACTCAATCTAGAAGATAATAATTTCAGCATTTGAAATAAATTTTGTCTATTCTGATATAAGAAGGTCCTGCTATCAACTGGCTAGGTTAGAGGTGAGTTGGGTTGCACCGAGACAAGATGGGTTGCACAGAGACAAGATGGTTTGCACCGAGACAAGATGGGTTGCACCGAGACAAGATGGTTTGCACCGAGACAAGATGGGTTGCACCGAGACAAGATGGGTTGCACCGAGACAAGATGGGTTGCACCGAGACAAGATGGGTTGCACCGAGACAAG